TATACATGATGGTCTCGTTTCTCATCTCGCAAGGAGGATGATAGAAAGAAAGACGTCTCGATGACTCATCACAAGACCAAAACGAAATGCTGACTCACTATTGTGTATCTCTCATTTTCCGAATGTTGTGCTGTAGAAATGCTTTCTTCTGATCGGTAAGTGGACTGTCAGATTGCCGTGTGTAACGATCGAGCGTTTGCTGCTTGCTGTCGTCAGTCGGAGCTCGAGCTGAGGTTGAACACAATATTCGACGTGTGGCCGAAAGTGTTGTGTCGGCGAGTGCAAGACGAGCAATGCCAACTCGGAGCGAGTGGTAAAGCATATAAAATGTACTAATAAGGAGGATATGGACCACCACCACAACGGCCAAGGAGAGGAAAAGAAAAGAGAAAACGGGCGGCCAGCGGCCTAAAACTGCAGACGAAGCACAGGCGACGATCGATACATCGTCTATCGGTTCGTCGTAGGACCAGCAAGGCGCGAATTTGAATTGCGGCCTGCGTCGCCACAGGCGGGACGTTACTGACCTTTTAGAGTTGTGGAAGACATAGGTGAATGTTCTAAGGTGCTAATCAAAATCTTAGATAAATGTCACTTCATCTGAAGTGTTGTAATTGAGACATGTTAGCCAGATCGCGGAATTCCAATGCTATGATGACGTAGTTGGCGGGGAAGAAGGGCGAACTGAGTGCACAGCTAATTTCATTGATCTGCAATTTTGCAGACAGAAAGCCCTTTCTAAGTACAAGCTGTACTCAAGCTTGCTTTTTTTGCAGCTCTTAACACATAAGATGCTAGTGACGAATGGAAATTAGAAAGGCTTGGAAATGAGGGTGATATTTTAGCAATAAATGCTAACAATTATGCTCTTCTGCTAGTATAACGATATGATCTCTCCTTTAGTTGTGAAAAAAGACAAATTCATTAATTTGGCATCAATGGCTGGTGGACTTGTGCTTCCTTAATTTATTATCTTCACCGAAGATTTCCTCTCAGAGGTATAGTTTTCACCGCAATGCTGAGGATTCTTAATCTTTGAGTTGAGAACTAAAATGATGACATAATGAAGTAGAGATTGTGCTGCCTGCTCCACCATTTTTGGTATTACACGATCGCAAATGTCGAGAACTTACTATAACATGACTTCGAATGTAGTCAAATTCTGTTTTAAGATAAGATGTGAGAAATGTTTGTGCACATATTAGATGCTATATGAGATGCTCATAGTCGAGACTGTATATTAGCATTGTTAGGCCTGGAACGGTATGTCGGCGTTTGGATAGACAGAATTGTTCGGATGGTTGCCCTGATCCCTTTTAATCACCGAGTGAAATCAGAACGAAATGCTGTAGCAAGCTTGTATGCAAAAAGCTCAACTGCAATTGTGCGAAAAAAGAAATTCTCAAATTGCAACTGCACAGATAGCAGAGAACATTTTAGGCATCACTTGAAAAGAGCAACTTGCATGCAGTTCAACCATTGAATCATGTCCAATATCCAGTTTGATGGCTTGAACTAATAACAAGCTTCATTCCACTCCTCTTCAACTCCTAGTTAAATCTTGTTATAGACTTATATGCGGCGTCGTATACCAACTAGAAATTAAACAAAATGGTAATGATTTTCCTTTTGTTTATGCGTTGTAGAGAAGTACTTCACAAAAAAAATTTCAGCATTGTTAATATTTTTATCATCAAGTAAGTTCTTTCATGTTTTTCTTTAGCATAGAAGGTCAAGCGTGATGTAACCACAACCCTGTGGCTGCAAAGTTTGTGCTTTAAGCACGCATTCTGTATACTTTTTTTGGGAAAAAGTTATAATTTTTAAAGGGTGAGGGAACAAATTTAGTTTTCTTACAGTCGAGTTCAAGCAGCACAATACCTTGACAACGTTGAAGTAACAGGTGATAGTGTGTTGTACTACACTAAATGACACAGAATCTTTCATTCTCCATTTTTAAGATATTGCACTAAGTCACATTACATAAGAAAGATAGGTAAGTCTCCGCGCATCAAGATCAACTGACAAGAAAGGATCTAACGGCTAATGCATAGTTTTCTCTTACACTACTCCGTGCCGTTGTTTTGCGGTTTTAATCTTGGGGCTCAAAAAAAGCTACTTCTCCGTACTACGTTATCGTAACGCTACACGGATTATTGTGATAGAAAACTACGCCATTAGTGTTAATTCCTTTCTTGTGATTGAATGCACTTATTACATATATAGCCACCCAGGTCAAAGGTTTCAAAGGTCCAACGTCCTTTTGTAAAACATTTAATATTTAGAAGTTCCTGTTCTACAAACTGATCATACAACCATTTTCAAGGATGGCTGTTTATAAAGAGAAATTTCAACTTCTAAAAGAGAAAAAAAAACATTTATCAGTGCTGGTTAGTGTAATATGCGAACCAATTTAGACTTTTTGAAGACATTGGAATAAACTGTACACGAATCAACAAGACCGGAAGTCACCTGCCAATATTATGCCCTTACTATGAGCCACAATTAAAATAACGGATTCGCGCAAGGTCTTTTTAAAGACAACAATCATCGCTACGTTAGTCTCTAAAAGAAAAGATTTTTGTTAAATGTTTACACAACTGATATAAATACTATGAAGGTTAGCTAGGCCAAAAACAGTTTCCAATTCTGATGGAGTATAAGACGGGAGTTACGGCACCTACACTTTGCCGCAAAATGACAGTGCATCCTATTTTTTTAGAGATTTTTATCATATTCAAGCAGATTTTACACTACGACATGAACAATACATTGCTGCAAAATGTAAAGTGAACAAGTCGCAGATCTACCATCCCCTATTCGGTTACTTCATTGGAAAACAGACAGCCAGACGAGAATCGCCGCAAAAAAGGTGACGTACACGCATGAGTCAACAAGAAAATGTAGAGAAAGCGACAAATCGACTGATGACGCGTCACTTTTTTGCAGAAGGCGCACGCCATGCCTCGCGCTAAACAGCGCGCATGTGGATGGACCATTGCCAAGTGCAATGACGTCATTGTCATCATCAGCTGAGTCTGGAAGATTCTTGGCTTCATCACTGTGCCCTATTTATGCCCGAGTTGTCATCATTGTGGTACCGGCTCGTTCACTTCTTTGTTTTCTTCACGTCG